TTTTAGCCTGATAAATAGTTAACAAATAGGTGATTATATTCTAATTTTAATATTCGGCCAATATAGATTATCAATTTAATGGAGCTTCTCAACCTGAACTTAATATCATATCTGTTCAAACCCAATCCATTCAGAGACATATTAGGACAACACATAATCTTGCCTGGAGTATAATTGATAATTTTAATCCATTAATTATTAGTAAAAAAAATGTGATTAGTGGCCGATATATGCTTCAACGAATATCAATTTGTTGTGAACACTGTCAAGCCATACATTGGCCAACGGAGTCTTCAACTAATTGCTGCCGTAATGGAAAAGTTGTTTTGGCACCATTAGATAATGCACCTCCATCAATTTTAAGCCTCCTTACGGAAAATTCACCCATGACTGGAGAACCATATTTGAAACAAATTTGGTTGTTCAATTCAGTTTTTGCATTCATATCGATAGAAGCATCAATTGATCCACATCTTGCAAATAGTGCTAATGGGGTATATACCTATCGTGTTCAAGGTGCAATTTATCATCGAATTGGTTCAATGCTTCCTGTGGAGAATTGTACACCCAAATTCTTACAAATATATATATATGATGGCAATTTTGAAGCTGAATTGAGCTACCGTCACAGTGTGTTTCCAACTTTAGACACTTTTCTTTTAGCAGATATTCAGCATGAGCTTCATATACATAATTCTTTTGCTTAAGTTTTTCATAGTGCTGGCCAATTTGTGCGTGAAGGTCAACCTGTTGTATTAAAAATTTTAAGTGGTCAAGGGTATGATGTATGGCATTATAACTGCTCTACTGCTAATGAAGTTGCGGTTTTGATGATTGATGACAGTACTATCAATAGTGGTCGTAATATTCTTCTTCGGACTAACCAGGGTCAATTGCAGCAAATATCAGAATGCTATGCTGCATACGATGCACTTCAGTATCTATTACTATTTTCATATGGCCAGCTTGGGTGGCATCACAATATTCCTTATTCAACAAGTACCAGATCTAACTATCATGAAAGCCATGAGCTTGCAAGTGATAACGATTCTGAGAATGGGGATTCAGACAATGAATTGAGACAAACACGGTAGCGAACTCAAGTTATGTTGCGAGACTATGCAGCATATCATTTACATATACGCAACCCTGTTGATAGTATACTTCATTATGCTAGGCATCTTTTTCACCAATACATTGTTGATCAGTATGCTAAAATTGAACAGAATAGACTTCTCTGGCATAGAATGAATCAACATACACTTCGTGCAGATCTTTATCAAGAACTTGCTGATGCAATAGCAAATGACTTCCAAGATCTTAGCAATATAGGGACTCGAATCATTCTGCCTTCATCATTTACTGGCAGTGATCATTATATGAGCCAATGCTATCAAGATGCAATGGCAATTGTGTGAGAATTTGGGAAGCCAAGTCTATTCATTATAGCTATGTGCAACCCCAATTGGCCTGAGATTCGTGCTGAGCTCTATGACAGACAAACGCCAAGTGATCAGCCTGATATTATTGCCCACGTTTTTAATTTCAAGTTAAAAGAAATTTTAAAAGATCTTATAAGAAGAAATATATTAGGGAAGGTAGTGACATTTGTATTAGTTATTGAGTTTCAAAAAAGGGAACTTTCGCAGTGCATATATTAATAATACTTGCAGAAGAGGATAAACCACGAATGCCATCTGATTATGACAGTATTGTATCTGCTGAACTTCCTGACCCTATTCGTCAGCCACAGCTTTATGAGACTGTTACTTGATGTATGATACATGGGCCTTGTGGTATATTTGCACCAAATGCTCCATGTATGCAAAATAATACCTGTTCAAAAAACTATTTCAAGCACTTTATTGATATTACTACGGAGGATAAAAATGGATATCCATTATATAGACGGCAGTACAACGAGCACACTATTCAATTAAGAAGCTGCATATTAAACAATAGGTATATTAGTAAATTATGTTTCTTTTTTAGATATTAACTAATAGTCAACTAAATAAATAGATGAGTAGTGCTGTATAATCCATACTTATGCCAAAAGTATAACTATCACATTAATGTAGAAATTTGTTCTACTATCACATCAGTCAAATACTTATACAAATATGTCTATAAAGAGCATGACCGGGCTTTAGTTGTTGTTTAGAATGATGGTACTAGGAACGCAGCTTATGATGAGATCCAAAAATATCTTGATGCTCAGTATGTTTCAGCTTCTGAAACATGTTGGAGAATTTTCTTCTACGACCTACAAAAAAGATCTCATCGAGTAGAAAGACTGCATATAAGAATGAAAAAATCTTTTTTTTTTTTTAACTGCTTCTAAGTATAATTTAAATATTTCTATTTTTAATTATAGATGCACTTACCAAACCAACAATTAGTTCTTTTTAATGCGCATTCAAATCCAAGTGAAATTTTATCAACAGCCATGCATATAAAACTCATGAGATTCTTTAAAGTATGTAGGAATAATCCAGAAGCTGCAGGACTCCTATATTCAGAATTCCCAAAATTCTTCTGTTGAAAAAAAGGAGCCTGGCACTGTTGAAAAAGAAGTGAAAACAAAGTGATTAGAAGACTATATTACTGTTTACCAAACGATCCAGAACGCTTTTGCTTACGTCTTTTGCTATGTCACATTCATGGTCCAAAATCATTTGAAAACCTGCATACAGTTAATAGTGTCACCTATCCAACATTCAAACAAGCTGCGCAACAATTAGGTCTTTTAGAAAGTGACAATGAATGGTTTAACTGCTTATCTGAAGCAAGCCTTTTTCAAATGCCATTACAGCTACGCCTCTTATTTGCAACTATATTAGTTTATTGCCAGCCAGCAGGTGTCAGAGATTTGTGGGATGCTTACTTGCTGGTTCTAACAGAAGATTTCGTATATGCTGCACAACAGCTTGGCCAAAACGCCACACCAGAGGATCCTTTAATAATAAGCCGTGCTTTACTTGAAATTGAAGATCATATTAGACAATGTGGAAAGAGCCTTGAAGACTTTTCTGAATTACCTGCCATACATTATGATTTACTGAATTGTAATAGACAAACACAGCTTTTTATAGAAGAGACAACTTTTCTACAGGACAAATTGCAGCAGATTCTTGAAGGTGTTTCTCTACTAAATGATGAACAATGTGCAATATATGATGCTATAGTAGCAGCTGCAGAACAATCAAATCCAGACCCCTCTATTTTTTTTATTGATGGTCCTGGCGGTTCTGAAAAGACTTTTTTGTATAATATTCTTTTAGCCTACTTTTGCATTTGGAATCAGATCGCACTAGCTCTAGCTTCATCAGGGATTGTAGCATTATTGCTTATGGGTGGTCAAACTGCACATTCTCGATTAAAGATTCTTTTAAAACTAAATGAAACTTCAACATGTCAGTTATCAAAACAATCTGAGAATGCCCGTCTGTTAAGAGAATCAAAGTTAATAGTTTGGGACGAAGCCCCTATGGTTAACAAATTTGCATTCAAAGCTGTTGATAGGTTATTACGTGATATTACTGACATTGATAAGCCATTTGGTGAAAAGCTTATAGTACTTGGAGGTGATTTTCGCCAAATATTGCCAGTTATTATTCATGGGTCACAAGGACAAATCGTTAATGCTAGTCTTAAACATTCTTATCTTTGGGATTTAATTCAGCAAATGCCACTTACAAGAAACATGCGTCTTCAACAAACGAATGATCCTAATGCAGCAGAAGATCGTGAATTCGCTGATTATCTTCTTCGAATTGGAGAGGGAAAGGAACTCACTTACTCTAATATTGGCCAGGATTTCATTTGTTTGCCCGATGACATAATGCTCGAAGGTCGGCTACAGGAACTAATTAATTACATATACAGTAACCTACAAACAAGATGGAATAATCATCAATATCTTTTGGAACATGCAATTTTGACAACCAAAAATCAAGGAGTTGCTAAAATCAATAATTTGATCTTATCTGATTTTTCTGGTGAGGAAAAGACTTATTGCTCTGCAGACTCTGTTGGGGATGCTGAGAGTATTAATAATAATTTATATCCTCCAGAGTTTCTTAATACACTTTTTCCAAATAGTATGCCTCCTCACAAATTAAATCTTAAAAAAAGTGTACCCATTATATTACTTCGCAATCTAAACGCAAAAAAAGATTTGTGCAATGGGACATGCCTAATCATTCGAGACTTTCAACAACATGTACTTGATGCTGAAGTTGTTACAGGTTTATGTCCAGGATTACGTGTTTTCATTCCACATATAGTTCTTGAGCCATCTGATACAGAACTTCCATTCAAGCTCCGTCGACGTCAATTTTCAATTAAGTTGGCCTTTGCTTTAACAATAAATAAAGCACAGGGCCAAACTATTCCAAACCTTAGGCTTTACCTTCCAGAGCCAGTATTTACTCACGGACAATTGTATGTGGCTCTTTCCCGAGTATGTTCCCGCCGAAATATTAAGATCGTTACAGATGTTAGCCGGATAACAGATCAAGGATATTACACAGCCAATATAGTTTATCATGAGATTTTTGATAATTAGATAATATATCGGTAAGTTAGACACTAAATAAACATTGCAAGAAAATGAATAAACATGCCAGATATGTAAGTATCAAGGCAACTTTTGCCTCGAATTATGTGGCATCCGATCGAACATGGTTATGATCACATGTTCGATCGATCGAGTAAGTATGAGGTAATTAGATAATTAGTAGTACGATCATTGATGAAAGTATGGTTAGAATGATTAGTCTTAATAAGTATAAGATAACTGATTAATTAATCAATGAGGTAATTGGATCGTAGTATATTTAGTAAGTGAGTAAAAATAATAGGAATTAGCTTTGTCTTTTCTGCAAACCTGACTTTCGTTCTGGTTATATCAATCCCTCTCACCCTATTTGCGTTAGAGCGACGCATAATTTGTATAGCCTGCTGGGACGGCAGTTATAAATAAGAGCAGGTGGTGGGATCTGTTAGGATTGTATGCTGAAAAATGTTAAATGTGATCTGTTGAGACAACAGTCACAAAAAAATAGCCTACCAGAACGACAGTCATAATACAAAAAAGAAAATAGATAAAAAATAAGAAAGAAAGAACATGTTGCATGATTCTATAAACAACTGCGTAGATAGTAATTTATCATATGTGCAACCTGTATTCAAGGCAGTGTCACTTTATTGATATATTAAGGTAGATGTTTCAATCTGCGTACAATGTATATACTGTACTATGTATGTATGTACGTAATTGAACCTAGATGCTACACAAAAAATGCATGGCATATTCTCGAGCGCATTACATAATTGTTTACTAATTTCTGGCCGGAATTAACTTTTTGATTTTTTCATATAAAAATAGAAATTTTTTAAAAATAAGCCCGCATTATGGTAAAATTGGCCAAGAAACAATTTTAACTTAATAGGCAGCTGCGATTTTATTAGTAAAATTATGAGCACACCTAGGTTCAATTATGTATATATACTGTATATTATATATGATTTTTCAA